GGAGGTCCTCACCATTGTCGCTGCCTTCTTGGGCGTCAGCTCCCAGGATCTGCAGACCACCCTCTCGTACAAGACCAAGATGATCCACAAGGAGAGAGTCACCGTCATGCTGGACCCTGCTGGCGCCCGCTCGCACGCTAACGAGCTCGCCCGCACTCTGTATTCGCTCTTGGTGGCTTACATTGTTGAGTCCATCAACCAGAGACTCTGCGCGCCCGAGGACAGCGTCGCCAACACCATTTCCATTATTGACTTCCCCGGCTTCGCCCAGCAAGCGTCCACTCACTCGGCGCTCGACCAGCTGCTCAATAACGCCGCCTGCGAGGCCCTCTACAACCTCACCCTGCAAAACTTCTTCGACCGCAAGGCAGACATGCTGGAGAACGAGGAGGTCAGCGTGGCGGCCACGAGCTACTTTGACAACTCGGACGCCGTCAGGGGTCTGCTCAAGCCTGGAAACGGCTTGCTCAGCATCCTCGACGATCAGACGCGCAGAAACCGCACCGACGTGCAGTTCCTCGAGAGCCTGCGCAAGCGCTTCGAGGGCAAGAACCCGGCCATCACCCCCGGCTCCGCCAACACCAGACTGCCCGGCAGCAACTTTTACACCGAGAACACAAACGCCCTCTTCACTGTCAAGCACTTTGCCGGCGAGGTCGACTACCCCGTCAAGGACATCATTGAAGAGAATGGCGAGGTCATTTCCGGCGATTTGCTCAACATGATCAACTCGACCAAGAGCGAGTTCGTCGCCCGCCTCTTTGGCCAGGAGGCCCTCAAGACTGTCACCCACCCCAAGGAGAGGTCGACGGTCATGCAGGCCACCATCAGCTCCAAGCCTACGAGAGCGCCCAGTGTCATGTCCCGCAAGACCACCAGGACCGCTCGCAACCAGCGCCGCATCCAGCAGTACCAGCAGCAGCAGGATGAGGCTGCCCAGGACGAGTTGGACAGACTCAGCGAGGGCAACTCGCAGTCTGGCGGCAACAAGCTGCAGGCGTCGGAGCAGGGCGCCTCTGGTCAATTCCTCGCGTCCTTGGACAACGTCACCAAGTCCGTTGCCGACCCCAGCAGCAACTCGTACTTTGTCTTCTGCCTGAAGCCCAACGACCGACGCATTGCCAACCAGTTTGACAGCAAGTGCGTCCGCACTCAGGTCCAGACGTTTGGTATTGCCGAGATCAGCCAGCGCCTGCGTTCGGCAGACTTTAGTTTGTTCCTTCCCTTTGGTGAGTTCCTCGGCCTTGCCGACTCGGATACCATCCTCGTCGGTACCGAGAGGGAGCGTGTCGAGCTCGTGGTCGAAGACAGGCACTGGCCCGCCAACGAGGTCCGCATCGGATCGACCGGTGTCTTCCTCAGCGAGAGATGCTGGATGGAGGTCGCCCAGCTGTCGGATGGCGCCTCTGCCACCGGCCGCTACGCCCTGCCGTCCGACAACGGCGACGGCCTGACTCCCCAGGACACCCCCTTTGCTGCCTCCAAGGAGCGCCTGCTCTCTGCTGGAGGCACCCCTCTCCTGTATGGCGAGAAGGGCAAGAACGGCTACTTTGGCGGCCAGGACGGCTCCGATGCCCGGTCGGAAGCCGGCGTGTCCGCATTTGGCGGCGGTGACATGTTCAAGAACCTCGACACCCGCGAGCAGATGGCTGAGCGCGGTAACGAAAAGAACCTCGAAGAGGTTGAAGAGTTCAAGGACAGCGCCAGCCGCAAGCGGTGGGTGTTTATGGTCTACCTCATGACCTGGTTCGTGCCGGACATTGCCATTCGCAAGATGGGCCGCATGCCCCGTAAGGACATTCGCGTGGCATGGAGGGAAAAGTTCGCCATCAACATGCTCATCTGGCTCTTCTGTCTCTTTGCCGCCTTCTTCATTGTCGTATTCCCCAAGCTCATCTGCCCCACCCAACACGTCTACAGTGCCGAGGAACTGTCCTCCAACGACGGCCAGGACGACAACTCGGCCTACGTCGCCATCCGCGGCGTGGTCATTGACCTGGGTGCTTACGCCCCCCGCCACTACCCGCCGTACGTTACCAACAAGCAGCTCAAGAACTACGCCGGCAAGGATATCAGCACTCTGTTCCCCGTCCAGGTCAACGCTCTGTGCCAGGGCAAGGACGGCTCCGTCGACCCCCATGTCACGTTGGACTACCGCAACACCAACCTCACGGGGTCCGCGCAGCTCACGTCGACCGATCTCAACTTCAAGTACCACGACTTCCGCTACTTCACCAACGACAGCCGTCCCGATTGGTACTACGAGCAGATGATTATGCTCAAGTCCAACTACAAGAAGGGAACCGTCGGCTACTCGCCCCAGTACATCAAGACGCTCGCCAACAAGCAGCAGAACATTGCCTACATGGGCGGCCGCGTGTACGACCTCACCCAGTACATGAACGGTGGTCTCAAAATGCAAGCCAAGGCGGGCGAGTCCGTTCCCGACGATTCCTCCCTCACCAGCTTCATGGACGACGCCGTTGTGCAGTTGTTCCAGGGCAAGTCGGGAACCGACCTCACGGACCTCTGGGAGAAGCTGTCTCTCGACACCGCCGCCAAGAAGCGCATGAAGACGTGTCTCGACAACCTGTTCTACGTCGGCGACGTTGACACGCGTAACTCGGTCCGCTGCCAGTTTGCCGAGTACCTCGTGCTTGCCATCTCCATCATCCTATGCGCCATTCTCGGATTCAAGTTCTTGGCTGCGCTCCAATTCGGTGGCAAGAACGTGCCGGAGAACCTCGACAAGTTTGTCATGTGCCAGATTCCCGCCTACACGGAAGACGAGGAGGCTCTTCGCCGTGCCATTGATTCCGTCGCCAGAATGCACTACGACGATAAGCGCAAGCTCCTTGTCGTTATTTGCGACGGTATGATTATCGGTCAGGGTAACGACAAGCCGACGCCGCGCATCGTGCTCGACATTCTGGGTGTTTCCGATACCGTCGACCCCGAGCCCCTCAGCTTTGAGTCTCTCGGTGAAGGTCAGAAGCAGCACAACATGGGCAAGATCTACTCGGGTCTGTACGAAGTCCAGGGCCACATTGTTCCGTTCATGGTCGTCGTCAAGATTGGCAAGCCGTCCGAGGTGTCCCGCCCCGGTAACCGTGGCAAGCGCGATTCTCAGATGGTCATTATGCGTTTCCTCAACCGCGTCCACTACAACCTGCCCATGAGTCCTCTCGAGCTGGAAATGTACCATCAAATCCGCAACATCATCGGTGTCAACCCGACGTTTTACGAGTTCATGTTCCAGATCGATGCCGACACCGTCGTCGCACCCGATTCCGCCACCCGCATGGTCGCCGCCTTCCTCAACGACACCCGCCTCATCGCCGTGTGCGGAGAGACGGCGCTGACCAACGCAAAGGCCTCATTCGTCACCATGATCCAGGTCTACGAGTACTGGATTTCTCACAACTTGACAAAGGCCTTTGAGAGTCTGTTTGGCAGTGTCACCTGTTTGCCCGGTTGTTTCTCCATGTACCGCATCCGCGCCTCCGAGAGCGGCAAGCCCCTGTTTGTCAGTCGCGAAGTTGTCGAGGCCTACTCAACCATCCGTGTCGACACGCTGCACATGAAGAACCTGCTCCACCTCGGTGAGGATCGATACCTGACGACGCTGCTGCTCAAGTTCCACAACTCGTACAAGACAAAGTACACCAACCGCGCCCACGCCTACACCATTGCGCCCGACTCCTGGTCCGTCTTCCTCTCGCAGAGACGTCGCTGGATCAACTCGACCGTCCACAACCTCATGGAGCTCATCCCCATGTCCCAGCTTTGCGGTTTCTGCTGTTTCTCCATGCGTTTCATCGTGTTTGTCGACTTGCTGTCCACCGTCGTGCAGCCCGTCGTCGTCGCCTACATCATCTACCTGATTGTCACGGTCGCCCTGAACCCCAGCGTGGTGCCGGTCACGGCTTTCATCATGCTTGGTGCTATTTACGGCCTGCAGGCCATCATCTTCATCGTTCGCCGCAAGTGGGAGATGATTGGCTGGATGATTCTGTACATCCTGGCCATTCCCGTCTTCAGTTTCGCCCTGCCCCTGTACGCCTTCTGGCACATGGACGACTTCAACTGGGGTAACACGCGTGTCATTGCCGGCGAGTCGGGCAAGAAGATTGTCATTTCCGACGAGGGCAAGTTCGACCCCTCCGTCATCCCCAAGAAGAAGTGGGAGGAGTACCAGGCCGAACTCTGGGACGCCCAGACGGTCCGCGAGGACGCCCGCTCCGAGGTCTCTGGCTACAGCTACGCCACAAAGGGCCAGGTCCCCGTCTCCGAGTACGGCTACCACAGCCGGCCCGGCTCCATTGCCGGCGGCTACGCACCCCCGAGGGCCCCCGGCATGGGCTACGAGCAGCGCAACCACTCGCGCATGTCGCTCGCTGCCTCGGATGCTGGCGGCAACCGCAACAGCCAGTTTGGCGGCTCCCAGTTCTTCTCCCCCGAGGACATGGTGGGCCTGCCCAGCGACGATGCCCTCCTGGCCGAGATCCGCGAGATCCTGCGGACGGCCGACCTCATGACCGTCACGAAGAAGGGTATCAAGCAGGAGCTGGAGCGCCGCTTTGGCGTTCCCCTCGATGCCAAGCGGCAATACATCAACAGTGGTATGTCTGTCTTTTTTACGGTTTCAAAAGCATGTGCTAACTCATCATAGCAACCGAAGCGCTGTTGTCTGGCCAATTGTGATCAACTTATACTAATTTAATGCATCATTTCTGGATTGGGGACATCAAAAAGGCCGGCTTTACGTCGACGGATCTCTTTTAGTTTGACAGGGGGCCCGGGAGGAGCATGTTTTGACATATAAAATGGAATTTAGCATAATATTGGATCAAGTCGCCCGGGCAGACAGATGTTGTTATTTGGTTTGGGACACCGCATGGCGGATGATTGGAGTTTTAGCATTCGCGTCAGAGTATATACAACATTATTACTGAAGACAAATATGTATTCAAGATGCATGCAGTTTTGTATTGAGTGAACTACTTGCTAGCGGCCGGCACCTCCTCGTCCAGGGGCAGAATGTGCGGCAAAGGACCGACGGGGCTGATGGAGAAGGGGTTGATTTGGGTGTGGCTCTTTGTGTAGTGCCACTTGATGTGCTCGAACTGGGTCGTGTCCTTGAAGGCCGGCACGTTCCAGTACAGGTTGCGCATCCACTTGTGGATGAAGGGGTACCCGGAGCGGATGTCGCGGATGTTGCACTTGAAGTGCTGCACGTAGACGGGCTATTTTGTTAGTACCAAATTGCAATTGCGTTTTGGAAAGAGATGAAGCTTACATCAAATCGGATAATGGTCACGTAGCTGCAGGGTATCAAGTTAGCAAACCCTTTCCTCGATGAACTGGGGACGAAAAAAAAAACTCACAGCCTAATGTCGGCCTCGGTGATGTCCTTGCCAAAGTAATACGGCCCCTCGACCGCCGTGGTCTTCAGATGCGCCTCCGCCTTGTCGAGCGCCTCGAACAGGGCGACGACGTTGCGCTCGTAGGCCTCCTGCGTGGTGGCGAAGCCCGACTTGTAGACGCCGTTGTTGATCTTGTCGTACGTCCACTCGTTTGCCTCGTCGATTTGCGCGCGGAGGGACTCCGGGTAGGGGTTGACGTTGCGGTACTTTTCGTCAATGAGGTCGTCGAACTGAGTGGGTGGTGTTAGTCATGATGCCCCGAGGGGGTTCACATTCATGCCTGCACAGTGAATGGATCATGGGTAATGGAATCATGACCAACCTCCGTGTAGAGCATGCGGATGATCTCGCTGCTCTCGTTGCTGACAATCGTCTTGAGCTTGGTGTCGTAGAGGACGGGCACGGTGAAGCGGCCCTCGTAGCCCGGCTCCGACTCGAAGTAGAGGTCGCGGAGGTGGGTGTAGGACTCGTGGCCCGGGACGGGATCGGGCACGACGTGGGCTCCGGGGATGTCCTTTTCGTCGCTTGTCACGAAGCGCCAGCCTGCGTTGTTAGTCTTGTTTTCTTAAGGGGGGGGGGGGGGGGTTCTCCTGTTGAGTGTTCCGGCCCACTGAGTGGGTGAGAGATCATTGAGATGAGACGTGTGTTGGATAAGGAGAGGGAAAACAAAAACGGGGTAACTTACCCTTCTCGCCAAGGTGCCAATGAACAACAGAATAGCTGATCAAGTCCTCAAGACCTTTAAGCTGGCGCGTAATCAACGCCCGGCAAGCCTATTCACACGTCAGATCCACTCATCCTCATTTTTCCCCCCCTCTCTCTCTCTCTTTTATTCTCATCAACACTTTCGATGAGCGAGAGGAATGAGTGAGAAACTGAGACAACTCACCCAAGGACACGCATAGCTGATGTAGAGATGATACCGCCCCTTCTCAGGCGCAAACTTGGCGCCCTCCTCGCGCGAGATGAAGTTGCGGAACGAGCTCTGCTGACGCTTGAACTCGCCCGACTTGTCGTTGGGTTTCACCCAGTCTGTGACTTTGCCGGCCTATGGCGTGTTCAGTCTCTTCATTCTACTTCATTCTTGTCTTCATCGCCATGAAAGCCTACGGGTACACACACCATTTTGCTTGGTTGTTTCCGTATAGCGCTGGTGTGGTACTTTATAGATGCGTTCTGTTCCTGACCAAAACGCAGGACGGATGAAATTGCGCGGGTGGGTTGGTGCGTATGTAAGTACAATATTCTCCGTGTCGTCGACGTGAGAGATCTCGTGAGACGAGTGAGTGCAGGGGTACCAGTGTTCATGAATCACGGTGTCGTTGATGAGCGCTATGTGTGAAGGTGCGGGGTGGGCGGATGAGCTTCTTATACGTCGATAGTCTAGATACGGTAGACAAAGGCAAGTCCCCGAACTGCAATCAACCGCGCGGGCAATCCACTTAGCCCGAGGGTGCACTTTCCGAAGCAGTGGATCGAACAAGTCAATTTGTCGCTCAATGCTCTCATACACGTATCAAATCTCCAACTGCAGCTTACCTTTACAATGTTGACTCGCAGGCTCACGGCTACGCTAAGGCAGCTTGACGATTCTAAGCAATTGCTAATGGTGACGTAAACCCAGCGCTTCCCCACGCTGAGCCGCCAGCGGCAGGGGTGCTTACAAATGTCTGCGCTAGCGGCTGCGGGCTTAGTAACGCCCTCGACTTAGGTAGGAAACAAACAGCCAGCACACAGAATAGTACACGCATAGTAACAATGAAGAGCTCTATTCCGTGATCCTATTGCCTATTTGGCTGACCACAATTTCAGGCCATTCTAAAACCTGGCGCTTCTAGCCTCGCCAATCCTGGCAGATATCATCAAGTGCACACCGACGACCCCTCTTACGCCATCTTCATCTTGATGTAGGGAACCTCAACGTCCTCGCCGTCCACGTCCTCGGCCACCATCTCGAAAATGACCTCCTTCTGGTGAGCCGGCACGGGCTTCTTGGACACCGTCTCAACGAGCTGGCTCAGCTTGAGGTTCTGGCGGTCCTTGAGCTTGGCCGGAGGGAAGAAGCTGGCGTACAGCAAGCTGACGCCGGAGCTGAGCATTGAGATGGTGAGGCCCTGCTTCTCAAAGTGCTCCAACAGCTCCTTGAGTGTGATGTCGTTGACCTCGAAACGGTCCCAGATCTTGTCCAACTTGACAACGCCGTTGGGACCCTTGAATTCCACCTTGGGGCTGGCAATGGGCTCGCTGAAGCCGAAAAACGGCAGCGCCAGGTTGATGAAACCGTTCTTGTACTGCTCAATGTCGTCCTTGCCATCAATGACCTTGTACAACTCCAGAATCACCAAGCCCGTGACGAGCGCCGTTGTCGTCGCAATCGCCGGGATGATCTTGCCGGCAATGAACTTGGTCTTGTGACGGTCGGCCTGCTCAATCTTGTAGTTGGCCGCGCGCAGGTTACTGCACGCCGTGATGAAGTCAATGTGGTGGTTCGAGTCGTCGTCCTTTTCAAAGTCCACAGGCTGCAGTTGGAAGCCGGCAAGCTCGTTAGGCGAAGGGAGGCTGCTGATGAGCTTCTGCAGCTCGTCGTTGTCGTCAAAGGAGCTGCCCGCGTCGGCGTTGGGATCCTAGTTCTGTCAGTATGTGCATGTATACTCCATAGACTATAGCAACTCACAGGGTCATTGTCGTTGGCCTGGATCTTCACACCCTCGGCGGGTGAGAACTCGGGCACAATGATGTTGTCGAGCTCGCGCAGGTAAATATCCTTGGAGGTTCCGGGCGACTTGATGTTGTAGTTGAAGGCGTGCAGGTTGGCGGCCGCCACGACGAACGCAAAGTGTGTAGGGTTGTTGGCGTCAAACTTGAGCGGCTCAGGGGCGCGCTTGGGGCCGGACCAGAAGGGGGTTCCGGTCGACGTCGTCGAGTCCTTGGGGAAGTTGTGCAGAAGCTGCTGGATCTTGTTGTTGAACTCCTTCTCGAAGAGAATGCGCGCCCACGCAACGCAGTCCTCAAAGGTCCGCGGGCGGTCCGTCGTGAGGTAGTCGCGGAGCGTCTCGAGCGTCAGCTTGGCACTTCCACCCTGCTTCAACGTACCCTCAATGTAATTGGGCTGCGTCAGGTACAGATTGACCGTCGAAGGAGACGTGACAAAGAGGTTCTCAAACATGTGGTCCTTGGACCACGCAATGGTGTGCTCAATCTTGTTGGGGAAGCTCTTGACCGTGCACATGGGGAACTCCTTTTCAGGGGGATCCTGCGATGACGAGTACGACTCGGTAAGATGGGGGAGGACGACCTGGGTGTTGCCCTTTGTTCCGAGCGTTCCGCTCTCGAGGAGGGGCTTGCGGAAGAAGACACAGCGGCGGTCGACGTACGTTCTGGCCTCAACGTTGTCCAGCGCGTTGGTGACGCCGTCGAGGTTGCCCCAGAACTCCTCGTTGAAGGTCTCCTCCGTCTCGGGACTCACGCGATCCTTGAGGCACACAATATGGCCGTTCAGGTCGGGGTTCATCGCCTGCACGGCCTCGGCAGCGCAGTCACTCTTCATTTTGCCAACATCCTTGGGACGGAACAGGAACTGCCGGTTCAGGTTGCTCTTCTCGATAGAATCCATGTCGGTAACGGTGATTTGACCCTTGGGGCCGGTTCCGAGACCAATCATGGCCCAGTTCTTCAGCATCTCACAACCAATGGCGCCGGCACCAACGAGGAATTGCCGCAGGTTGGCAATCTTTTCCTGGTACTCGCGGCCAAAGACGACAATCTGGCCGTCGTAGCGGGTGCCGAGAGGCTTGCACAACTCGGCGGTGCGGGCGGTGCTGGTCGGCAGAGACTCGAGCGAGTCAAAGTACATCCACTGCTGAATGGGCTGGAACTTGCCCGAGACGGCCTTGAGGATTTCCTGGGCTGCGATTCCACCAAACAGAGCGGCCATGGCGTTGAGGTCACCAAGGGACTGGTAGCTAAGCTCCTTGAGGAGCTTCTCGTCAAAGTCCACCTCGACGCCCTCGGCCTTGGCAAACGCCTCGGCGGAGCGCAGAATCACTGTCGCATCCGTGTCGTCCAGTGGGTTCGGGAAACGGCCCTGGCTTTCCACAAAGGCGTGCAGGGCCTGGAAACCGAGGTGAAGCTGCTGAGGGCGGTCAAACTTTGCAAAGTCTGAAATCATGAATTCGGGCTCCTTGAGCGCGGCAGAGAAGCTCTTGAAGTTGATCTTCTTGGGCATCTTGACCTGCTGGTACAGACCGCCGCGGATGTACTGGCCGAGGCCGGAAACGTCGCCGATGGAAAAGGTATACGGGCCCTTGACGGTAATCTTTCGCGGCTCGCCTCCGTTGAGCTTCTCCATGCCCTCAATTTCTGAAAAGGTGACATAGTCGCCATCCTCGAGGCCGTGGCGGGTCTCGTCGAGCGCCGAAACTAGGCCCTCCTCGTCGATGCCCGCAATGATGCCGGTCAAGGGCGCCTCGCCGGTCGGGTCGATGACGGTGAAGTCGGCGCCGAAATCGCAGAAAATCGAACCGAAAAGACCAAAGGTATCGGCGGCCACGACGTAGATGCCCTTGGAGTGGCAATAGTCGCCAATCAACGCCTGCAGCTTCAGGGGCAGGCTAGTCAGGACGACGACCTGGTACTTGTCAAACTGGGAGAGGTTCTCGCCCAGGCTGCGTCTGTCAGCGAAGTCTCCGGGGAGGGCATCCTAACTCACCTTGACGACTGGTGGACCTTGACGGGGGTGTACGCGTTCAGCTCGGCGACTCTCGGCGCGGTGACCTCGTCTCTCGGCTTGCCCACGTCTTCGGGGTGCAGGAAGAACTGCGAGGACAGGTCGGCAAGGGCGACCTGACCGGGGTCGTAGAGTGTGAGGCTCTTGACGCCGGCAAGGGCAATGTTCTTGGCGATCTCGACACCCAGGCCCTTGAGGCCGACAATGAGGACGTTGGAAGCGCCCATGCGCTTCATGGCCTCGTGGCCCAGCACATAAAGCTGGCGACTGTAGAGCGACTCATCGATCTCGGTGTTTCCGACGACGGAGTCGTCGACCTGCATGCGGGTCACCAGGTCGACCTCTGGTAGCTTCTTATCCTGTGGGAGACATTGAAGTCAGCGGCGGGATGCGGGGTATGTGGACGGAGGCGATACGGCGACGCGACGTACAGCCATGGTTTTCTTATTGGGATCAGGTATCTCCCCGTTGGAGAGTTTGCGCTTCCCCAGCTTGACGATGCCGGAACGGAACGTCGTTTGCTATGACGTGGAGGGAAACACGGGCGGCGGGTGGGACGATGAAGCTTCCAACCCCACCAAACAAAGACGTGTGTATTCGTGTGTTCGTATCGTGGAACCGCGGATGGTTCTCTCGTCGTTCGTCAAAGAGAGAGAGATACTGTCGCTGCGTTTCGTGGAGAGATAAGGGAAAGAATGCACCAGGCAAAAAGCGTCGTGTTGCAGTTGATGTGGTTGTGCAGGAAGAAAGAGCAGCCTCGTTTCCGGTGATGTAAAGGTGGTCGTGGAGCCCGGATGTGGAGGTGTTGACGAGGGGCAGGGGTGCGCCTGGGTTACCTCACGTAAGGCGGGCAATGCAGGCTGGCTGGCGCTGTGAGGTAAAGGGAAGCTCCACTGGCCGATTTCTAAACATTGCCCCTCAATGCATCCAACAGTGAGGAATAAGGTACCTACTCAAGACAACTTCAGCTTAGGTGAAGCAGTGCCGTTTGCACTGTGTGCACATCACTATCTGACTGGTACCTGCAGATCGGGATGTATTGCAACTGGTCCCAGCTTTCCGTACTGTACAAAATCACTGTGTGTCGTATTCTCCGAGAATCTACCGAGTTCCATCACCACTTTGAAGTCGACCTGAATGTGAGTCCCAGACTTGGCTGCTTAGTTCGAGCAGAGTATTCAAGTTTAGAGTTGTTCGTGTTATGGTCTTGTGGCATTTCGATGCCTGGTATCTGCAACGTGTCATTGTATCGCCCAAGAGAGTTGATTCCGGCAAAACGAGTGTGTTGAAGTTGGTTGATGGACGCAATCAAGACGACGATTTAAATAGCAAATTAAATCAGTCACAACGTCCACGAACATAGATCGACTCAATACACCCTTGAACTGCAAGTCAAAGTGTTCACCATGATGATTCTGTTTTTTTATTGCTCGGAACGCCGAGTACACGCAGAAAATGCCGAATACCATGTTCCGAGACCTCTCCATCAGCGGCGAACACAATACACAGACTGTGTCATAGTCCTCAGGCTATATTTGCGGCGTTCCTCTAAAGTTACCACTGAACACTCATACGCGATTAAGGTAAGGCACTCGCTGGAAAGAACTGACAATGGGACAAGATCAAAGATCACATGAGTACGTGTATCACCAGCATCGCATGCCGTGTGACGTGGGCTCCAACCAGACCCGGAGGTCGCGCATGCGATCCGACGGCCACACGAATCCATCACACACTAATTGACAGTAAAAGCGTTACTATGCGGCAGCTGAAGAGAGTATATTTGGGCCCTAGTATGCTCTGGGAACTGTACTATCCACCCTGCAAGACAGGCCGAGTGTGCCTACTCCATATTGTCTTTCCAGTTGACCACTTGCGCGAAACGACGTAAAGCTTTGATGCTTTACTGGACCTTCTTCAGCTCAACGTCGCTATGGAATGTGGTTAACTAACGCATTTGACGACGCCGTGATGCTGGCAAACAGCCATCGTTTCTCGCGCAGGGTCAGACTTACAAGATGAGATCGGCGTTGGGGGGAATGTGGCCGGTGAAGCCGCTGTTTGGTTAATAAAATTAGCATCAACTGGTCGTCATAGTAGCAACAGATGCCTGGCATGGCCTCAGCCATGTTGGTGAGTATTGCTTACCGCTCGCCGTAGGCGTAGTCACTGTAAAACACACGTTAGCCAAGTTCGTTGTCGTGCCGTACACAACTGTACAAAGCCACTCCATTGGGGGCAGTAGGAGAAAGGTTCCTTACCTGGTGATGTCGAGAGTAGCCTTCTCGCCAACGTTCATCTGGGTGACACCCTCATCCCAGCCTGCGGCCATGCGTCAGTCAGCATTTAGTTCCGCATTACCAGCATGGTATGTTTTTTCGAGGAAGTCTGAGGAGGAGAGGAAGGGAGGGACGCAGGTGAGTCTTGGTGTAGACATACCCTTGATGACCTGGCCGACACCAATTCTGGTGACGAAGTCGCCGCGGCCGACGGAGGAGTCGAACCTGGCAATTGAAGCACTCGTTAGTACGGCGTCGAAGGAGAGAATTGCGACGAGCGGGGTAGTGGAAGTGGAAGTGTTTGCTCACTTGGCGCCCTTGTTGTCGGGCTTGGAGGTATCCTTGAGGAAGCCAGTGTACTCAATAGTGACGGTCTGGCCGGGCTTGGGGATGGCGCCGGAACCGGACTGGTGAGTCGTCTTGGTAACACCCATTTTGTCGGTTTGTATGTGATTGGTGATGTGGTTGGAGTTTGTGGTTTGGTGATGTTGGTGGGAAAGAATTGTCAGAGGAGGAAGCTGAGGGAAGCTACTGCTTTAAAGACAAGGGCAGCAAAAGCAGGTAAAGGGAATCCAAGTGGGGTTGACGGAGGATGGAGGGGTAAAATCGCAGAGGGCAGTGGTCCAGTAGTTTGGAGGGGGGGGGGGGGGGAATGCAGCCTGGCGCTCTAAATAGTTTCGTCACTTTGCGAACTTCAATCCCGAGTGGAAGTGGGAAGGAGCACCTTATGGTACCTTGCCACAGTACGACGAGGCCAGGGCCACCCAATGTATCTATTCCGTGTATCTATCATATATCCTAGGTTTGACAGTACTGAGAAATGAGGGGATACCGAACCGAACCAGGCATTGCGACAAGCTGCCTTGAGGAACGGGGGGGAGGTCGACTCGCGCGCATCGCCTCGAATTGCGGTTGCGTGGGTGAGGTGCTCAAACCAAATGGAAGGAAAAAAGGTACTTGCCGCCTCAGCCAAGGGAGCCGATGACGAACCCGGGCCCTTGGTCGCGGAGACTTGTGAATGCTGTAACCTTTTGCCTGCGTGGCGCCGAAAAGTCTACTCCTTACCTGGGTACCGTTACCAAGAAACAAAGTCCGCCGTGATGGGCGATCCCGAAGCCAAAGGTCCCCCGCCCAGGCGAGCAGAGGTACCTTGCCGACCCCGCCAAACGACCGGCTGTGCCTTACGTCAGGGCGGCCTGTCAGAACAGCAGGCGCAGGCGGCAGCGGGCAGTTCCTCAACACCCTCAACCACCAGAGTTTAACCTCGCGCGTCCGACAAACTCCCGGTCGTCCTCGCTTCACCTTGCGCGTAACCTTTCCGAGGTTCCTGACCTTAGGTAGGTAAAGTACCTGGCCCAAGGTCTGGCTGGACTGCGTGTACCCAGAAGAAGCTTTGTTGGTTTGCATCAGCTCGACACAGCACTGAGAATACTTGTCACTACATGCTCAAAATAATGATTGGAAAATCACACAAAAAGTTGGCAATGGCTACCGCAACTCTCCCACGCACCCTTGGCAATCGCTCCAAAGGTCAGCGATTCAACCACGCTGTGGCTTGCCTCGATACTCCAACCTTATCCATGTTGCTCACCTTCAAGCAAGGTACCTCATATGCGAGTCACATCATCTCACCGCCCAAGCACATACCGTCAATCCGGCTCTCCCACGCCTGGAAAAAGCCCCAAACGTAGCTAGCCGTCGAGATTCGGCCCCTCGCGCTGATCCCGCCGCTGCGATCCATGGTTCCGCCGGGTTTCCATCGCTTCTGACTGGTCATCATCACCATCGTCGCCGTCCTCGCCGCCGCCTACGCAGTATTGCTGTTGCGTCTCTCCCCGATTTCTCCGCTTCAGTCAAACCCACCTCCCGTCGTCCTCTTTGTCAAAAGGCTGCATCGCGACGTGCGGTAATTGCCCCCTCGGGCAGACTAGTGTAGCGTCCAAGCGCTAATACGTCGTCCTGCAGCAAGCCTGCGAGCGAGGGGTGCGGCTTTGCGGCTTTGCGGCTTGCCCCAGTTCTCACCTCCCGGCCCTGCGCTGCCCCTCCATCCCACTACGCTATTCGCAGATCAACGCTCGTCCAACCAACCTATTGTCACTCGCTGCCGCCGCCGCCACTCGTCAACGTCCAATGCCAACCTAGGATTTCGTCGTCGGCATCCAACTGCACTCAAAGATGTCGTTCTTGACAAATGCCGCCCCGTAGGTCTCTCGGCCACCCGACCGGTTTGTATATGGTCGTTGGTGTCCCACGGCGCCATCCAGCCCTGCCGCAAAATGACGGGGGACGTTGAAAATGACAGGAAGCGGATCCCCACTGCGTCTGCCAACCACCTCCATTCTATCCCGCGAGAAAAGGCACATCGCGGGACACGAACGGCAGAAAAAGAAAAGACGAGTTGGATTGCGGCCGGCTGGGGCTTTCTCGTGGAGGCGTCAAATTCGACGTAAATGCTCCTTGGTCTTTGGGGCGGCGGGCACACAATGTGACTGCTCATATCCATCCGTCATCTGCATATGCATCTTCGCGGCTTTCGCAATACCGTTCTGGCTATGTTTGCGAAGAGCCCGCCATTCATCGCCGTCAATCTAGGGCTAGACTGACAGGATCCCGAGCTGCTCCACGGGCTCGCGGCGGAACACGTCCTGCAGACCCGGGTCCGACCAGTCATCAAGGTGAGAAGACCGAAAGAGTCTATGCATTGCAGAAAGCAAGCCGAGTGAAGTTTCCAGGGCAGCGGATTCTCGCCAATGAGTGGTTTCGCGAGCCGTGTAATGGATGCTGGACACGGCGGCTGCAGCCCTCTACAAGGTATATATCTTCATGCTTCCCAATACCGTCCGATCTGCACATTGTTTGCCCCTTCCTCGCATCAAGGCTGTGCACCATGATCGAATGCAGCGGGTTCTGCCACAATCGAAAGACGAATGACATGTAGTTTTGTCGGGGGTCACATGATCATGATGAACTGCTCAACACATCAACAACCACAAGCTTTTCCCACAAACCTGAAATGCCATAAAGGGTGTCGACAGAGCACTATGAACAGTCAGAAGCGTATCTGTTCTCAATATCGCGGGTGGCACATGGTAGCCGCTGTCAGTCTCTGTCGACGTGAAGGTAATGAGGCTTCGGTAGTTGCTGAAATGACAGGACCGGGCAGATGCCGGGACTACAGGCTTGAGCCGACCGGTCACCTGCTCCGCCAATCTCCACATCTCCCGAAGACTCCGGCGTATGCCGCCTCCCTCTCGGTGCCGATTCTCCAACGAATCGGCTATGCCATCCGTTGGCGCCTCGAATTCAAAGTGCATGCCATACCTGACACGAGCGTCGCAGGATGTAGAGTGCCCGACGAACACGATGAAATGACGAGATCCCTACCCCTGAAGCCCTCGATGCCACTGGCTGAACAGAGCGTCGTAGAAGAAAGCAGTGGCCTGGCCGAGTACGAAATTCTCGCACGTAGACGACAAGGAAACACGTGGCTGAAGCGTCCGGTGCCACAGCAGCCCTCTGGACGAGCCTGCAACGGAATCCCTCATTCCCATCACATTCCAGCATCGTACTCTGGTGTCATTTTGAAACACACACGTAGAGCCGTGTTGTTCTCTGCCAGTGTCTGGGGCGAGGCTGCCGCAGAGTTCATCCCGACATCTCAAACATGACACCTGTGCAGCATCACCCGCGAATTGGTTCTGCGGTGCTCGGCGGGCGGGAGCACGTGCAGATAGACACAAGACGAAGACTCGATGCGCGAGAATGCCTGGGTCGTCATGTTAGTCCTGATCTCATGTCGAGTCAATCTTACCTGGAGCTGCATCAGATTCCCGTGAATCCTGCGCATGGCTGCGGCTCACGTCCCAGAGACATGGCCAAACACCCGCGAGGATCATAATATGGCAAATACAGCGAAGATTTGGCTGCTTGGAACGGAAGACATTGGTCGGTAATATGAAGCTGCGGGCAATAGAATGATCGGCAGGTAAACAGCCCCCCCTTCACTTTCAGAGGGAGACTGACAAGCACTCCCCGGCACATCTTGAAACACCTTGGAAAAATGCTGCAATGGGTCCCAAATTCGATTTTCCAGCTGTCTAGCATGTTACCAGGGTTTCAGGGTGTGTTGCCCACATTCTCAGGTGCGGCAAAGCCTCGGGAGCCTATCCGTAGAGGGAGGGAGAGCAGGTCGCACTAAACAAAGGAGAAGGCGATTTCGAAGCGAGTTCGAAGCAAGACACAGCGTTGCGTAGGTAGCCGAGACGATGGAGGTGACGAAGGGGTCTCGAACTCTTGATGTCATGGTCATAGCGTCTCCCTGGACGCCGCCAGGAACTGAAATTCGTCACTCTTGGACTTGGAAATTGGGAATGAGGGCACCGTAGCTATTCAAGTTAGCTCGCGAGCCACGCCCACGCCGTACCTCGAGTACCTGACGCACCAGCGATAGCGCATGTCTTGGTGCTATTTTGGCTCAGCCCGGTCCGCTCGCTAGCGATGGTGGCACGCGCAAAGTTGGCAGACACAGTCGATGCCGTTGGAGCGGGAACCGCCACCGGGACTCGGGGCCGGAGCGGCAGCTTCAGTCTTCAGAGGTGCATCGTGTACGGATACCGTGCCGTCAGGGAAGCAGCGATTGATGTGACTTCATTTCGATGCTTGCTGTGGCTCCCGCTCAAGGGCTTCTAGAGTGACGGGTGCCGATGGAACAGACACTCTGGCACGTTGATGACACCGCCACTTCAAGCTCGACGATGTGACGCGACACAACACGAGACGGGCCGGACGGCAACTTGCGGATAGGCGAGGAATGGGTACGGACATGGCTGTGGCAGAAGAGCAGAGAGACAAGGCATGCGAGTGCTGCACAGCCTCACTCTGTCGTGTATTCAGGAGCGCTGTTCCACCGACCCTCATTCTCTCCTCTCAGGGCATCGCTTCAGGATGCGATGAGAGAAGACTTGGCCAACACTGTCCTGCACCTGTGACGATACTGGGGGAGGACGAGAACTGGACAGGGGCCTGGGCCACTGATTCCAAGCTCTGGGCTTGAGTTCCACAGCGTCGGATAGAGGATTCGTGTCACGGTCATCGAAGCCCTTCGAAAGCCAGTACTCCGTCTCGAACAGATGATGGGGCTCTATTTGTGCCGATTAAGTTGTCCCAAGGCTGACGCCTGACTATTCCTGTGGCCTCGAGCAAGGAGTCGCGTGTGCAACTCGCGTGTAACTGTAAACAATCCAACTGGCCCGGCATGCATCCCGGTGCGCGAACCCGCAGAGACTGAAAAGTGAAAACCAAAGAGAGGGATAAAACAGCAAAAAAAAAGCTTCGATTCTTTTCTTCTTGCTCTTTACCCACGTGGAGAAACACACCATCAATGGACGTTGCAGGGTGATCCTCGACGGCTGATCAGAAAGGGCGAGACCATTCG